TATGAAGACTTTTCATTTATAAAATAAGATATAATGCTTAACATTTATATTAGAATTTTCTTAGAAAGACGAAAGATTTTTTTAATTACGCAGCTGGGGCATAGTCATAATCAGCATCATCATCATCATCATCGTCATCTCCATCATCCTCGAACCATGTAGCTGAAACATAAATACACCCTGTGGCATGGCGATCCATCATCGACCTAGACTCATAAACATGACTACCTACGTCATGGTTAAAATTACAAATTGAGTTCATCAATATTGTTGAAATTTGAGACATATTGTTGAGACTTTTTTGTTTCAAGATTGAATCAAAAGAGATGATAGCTAAGGGTAATTGCTATTGATGTATGAGTTGGGAAGAAAAGGGGTATATATAAGGATGCCTAGTGAGTCATGACATAATTATGTGCTCAAAATGGCTCCACAAATGTACCGAAATGGATTCAGAATTTTCAGTAATTTTTTTTAAAAAAATATACTATTTGAGATTTCAATATTTAATCTTATGTTTAGGAGGTTTAAAATCTGTGTATATATACATAAACATTAAAATACCTTATATATATATATATATATATCGAGGATACTTCAATAACCTCTCGCTACCCTCTTAATTTGACCCCGGAGCCCACACCTTTATCATGATAGGATATTATTCTATGATCTTTATGATCATATCATTGATTCGAAAAGTATAAGGTTTATTTTTTTATATGCTCAAGTATATACTGATCGAATAAACTATTCAAGTACAGTTCAATATGTCCTTTGACAACAAATCGAATAAACTATTCAAGTATAGTTAAATATGTCCTTTGACAACAAATGCAAAAAATGCACTCTAAATGATACAACTAATTAAGGAGCAGTAGATTCTACGTTTAGAAGGTTCAAAATCTGTATATATATATACACATAAACACTAAAATACCTTATATATATATATATATATATATATATATATATATATATATATATACCGAGGATATTCCAATAACTCCTCGCTACCCTCTTAGTTTGCCCTCTGAGCTGATTAAACCACATCTTATCATGATAGAATATTATTTCATAATCTATTTCATCGTTTCATTAATTTGAAAAGATATAAGGTTTATTTTTTATATGCTCAAGTATATACCGATCAAATAAACGGTTCAAAGCTAAGTATAGTTCAATATGTCCTTTGACAACAAATGCAAAATGTCGACATTCTTTTGTGCATGAATTCTCAAGAACCATTCTTGAGAGTTATTCCAAATGCAGAGCTTTATTAATTAATGTCAAAAAAAAGAAAAAAAAACAAATTAAAATAATTATTATTGTAACAATCTTATAAGGTTATAGTCCAAATGCTTCAACATAATAACCAATCAGTAAATTAAATATAAGTTGTGAATTTTAATTTTAATTACCATAATCACCCTATTATTAAAAAGAATCTTATTTTTGCCTAAATGAAAAAATAAATTTCAAATTAGCGAACGCAAATAAATTACTATGCATGTCATATAAAATTTCTTCAAATCTATATATATATATATAAATCTGAATCAAGAATTGCTGATGTGGCATGCCTATGAGGGCTGAATTTTTTATTTATTTATTGCAGATTTTTTGTGTAAAGTTTCTTTTTTCATTTTAAAATATAAAATATTATTAAATATTTTTATAAAATATTAAAGCATAGTATTTAATCACTCCCTCATTAAATCATACATAAAAGCTTCAGTTATCAAATTCTTACGTTAAAAACATTTTTCTTAATTTTAAAATTTAAGAAAATTTATTCTTTACACTTAATTAGAGAATTTGAAAAGTTTTTTAACATTAACTTTTGAATACTATATAAACCATACCATTAGATTGCTACATGTTGGACATGAGATTGTTTGTAAAAGATGAAAATGAATATGATGGTGTCGAGATAGCCATGGATTTCTGCGCTGCTGATCGAAGGAGACGACTGAATATGGAGTTTGAAAACCTCTGAAGCTTTTGCCATTCTTTTGCATTTGTTTATTTACTTTTCTTTTTTTTAAATTTAGTTAGTGCTATAATTTATTTTTCTTTTTGATTATTGAGAATCGATCCACTTTTGGAATTGATAGTTATACTATTTTTTAATTTTTATTGATTAATAAATCTTGATAGAACATTTGTGTTTTTTCTTTAAAAAAGAAAATATTTCATGTAATATAATTAAAATTTAAGTTTAATTTGCGGTCATTTATTTTGTTACATATTTTAATTTTTTATTTTCTCTAATCTATGAAATCTGAAAAAAAATAATCAAATTTCTCATCATTATTACAATTTATTAATTTTCATTTTTCTTTATCATTACTACAATTTAATATTTTTATTGAAATTCTTTTTTCTACCTTCTATTTTGATAATTTTCTAAAAAGAAATGTATTTAACTCTGATCCTTATTTCCATAATTTAACATTGTACCTTCTATTCTTATTATTTTTTATAATATGTATGTTTTATTTATGTCTCCTTTTATTACCATGAATATGTGTTACCCATTTTTTCTCAATTAATTTCATTTAGTTTGTTGTAAAATGTTGAAAAAAATTAAAATATCTTATTTTTTTATCATTAATAAAATACTATTAGTTAATTTTTCTAAAATTTTTCTTTCATTCTCCTAAATTTCTTTCATTTATTAAAAAATAAAACACTTCTTTTATATATATATATATATATATATATATATATATTTATCAGAAATTTATTTATAACTTATTCTTTTTAATTTTTAAACTTCATCTTTTTTTTGAGTAGCAGGAGTTTAGTTTATATATATATATATATATATATATATATATATATATATATATAAACTACAAAAATAAAAGGTAATAAGCGAAATATAAGGAAGAAATATTTAAGAAATATATTTTTATATGTAAGCAAAACGGTAGCTTTTGAATTTCTTATTTTTGGAAAAGTATAACTGATTATTAATTAATAATTGATTTTTTATTTTTTTTTTATTTTTTTTTTCCCTTCATTTACAACTCAATTCTTTAATTATTATACTCTCTCCGTCTGGAATTGTTTGTCATGATTTCAGAGTCAAACTATTAAAACTTTGACTAACATTTTAAGATGTATTTTTTCATCATATTAATATGCAAAAAAATGTAATTTATAGTACTTTTCATGTAGTTTTAGAATATCTGATTTTTCTATTTAAAATATCGAATTAATGTGATCTAATTTACCTTTGTAAGGGAGTATTAAATAAAATGTTAAGAAACTAAAAAGTTATTTCTTTGATATAAGTTTTAATGATATTTATTTTCATTACATCAACAACTTTTTATTTTTCTAATTTCTAAAGTAATTAATAATCATATTGATATTAGATATTATAGTCGTATAAATAAAGATAGTTAAAATTTTATAGAAATCATCACTTTAATTTTTTTTTTGGTTATGTTTTTGAGAGATTTTTGTTAGATTATGTAGAAATCATCACATTGATTTATTTATTTTTTTGTTGTTTTTTATATTCTTTATGTTTATTATTTGCATATTTTAGTTTGACTCAAAAAAAAAGATGCAAATTATTAAATTATGATCAACCTATGGTAGCAAAAACTCGAAAGATTAATTATGCATTAAATTTATATATTATTCTTTGCTATAAAAAATCAAGGTCTAACAATTATATTACAAACACATCTTTATTTATATGATACTTAATAAAATTACTCATAACTTATCATTTTTTATAATCGCGCGAAGCGCGTATAAGTTCACTAGTATAAAATTAATAATGATACATCTATTAAACTAAATATATTTCAAAGTCAATTGATATAAACCTAGATATTATTCCTCAATAAAAAATAAAAATAACGAGTAGCTAACTAAGACCAAGATTTTAATTACTTCCTCACGTTTGAATTAGACATAGCAATCGTTGTGTATATTTTAAATCTATCGCGATTAAAAATATCTAAATTTATTTTGAGAAAATAATAGTTTGCATAAATTGTATGTAGGTTTATAATCCATGTATTTGCTATGAAATTGAACTAACTCTATTGTTAGACTACACATGCTCTTTGATGAAATTCTTTTGTTGTTTCTTAATTTATATTGCTCAATCATAGTTTTACATTTTAGAAAAATCGGAAGTTCATCAATTTTTTTAATCAAAAAAAGGAAAAATATTTAAATATGCTATCGAATTTTTTTAAAAAAAAGACTCATTTATGTCATTCTATAAAAGGTTTGACTCGTCTATATCATTATTGTTAAAGAAAAAGACTCATCCATATTTATTTTTAAACTCTGGTTTTGTAAAACCATTTTGTACATCTCATACAAGGTTTAACACTTTTCACGAGTTTTTGAATCAAACGTATATTGTTTGTGCTGCTACTTTCTTAAACACCAAAAACACTGTACATTTGATCAAAAAATTTCAATCGAAAAGTATTAAACCTTATTTGGAGTGTAAAAAAAGGTATGAACGAGCCTTTTTTTTTAACAACTATCGAAAAATAAATGAACCAACCTTGTTAACGAATGACGTAAATGAGTCTTTTCTAAAAATTCGATGACATATTTAATTTCTTTTAGGTTTAAAAAAATAATAATTTTCCGAAAAATATTTCTCTTTATATTTGTTGGTTAAACCCCTCACTCCCTTTTAAAAGAGAAAATTTTTTCTGTGAGTTCAAACATCAAACACCTAATAGGCGCTAAAATGGAGAATCCATCTTCATCGGAGAATCTGCTTCAAACCCTAAATACCAGAGGCTGGTGTTTCCGGGATATCAATCTTGTAAATTCACTCATTGCAGCTCAATTGCCGTCATCATCCACCGTTAGTTCAATCGAATCGGAGCTTCTAAACACGGACTTACGATCCGTCGGCGGGAAATCGTTGCCGGACTTTTCTCTTCTTCGTAAATCGTCTCATATCCAAGGCCCTAAAGTCCTTCAAGTAATTATCCTTTTTTAATTTGTCTTATATGAAGACTTTGTGTTATTTTGCGTCATTTTGTGTATATAATGGTAGTAGGTAAATGATTTAGAGGAATTCGTATTGGATTTTGATGAACTTGTATCTGTGCTTCTAGCTCCACCTAGGATGAGTTTGGATTTGTACGATTAACAAATGTTTGAGCTGAAAGAATTAAATTTGATTACACCTGCCTTTACATATTTTTGTTGCGTAAGGATTTTCTATGAAGAATATATATGTATGTATGTGTAAAGGATGCACTAAGCATCTCGCATTTTGATAAAGAAATGAACTTTGGGCTTAACTCAACTCCAAAAGTTAGCTCATGAAGTGAGGATATCGCGTAAGACCGTATAAGGAGACCTAGAACCCATCCCACAACAATGTGTGACTCCAACACATTCACGCAAGTTCTGGGGAAGGGTTGCACTCGTAAGGGTTGTGATGTAGGCAGCCATAATTGTGTGTACCCATTCGTTAGAAAACTACACTGTGCAAGTGGAGTTAAATTGTATCTTTTTTGGTTTTGTGTGAGTTGTTCAATCCCCTTGACATGAAAAAAAGAAGCAAAATTCAAGTATAATGGTAAAAGGGGATTCAAAATTGCTTTAGTTCAGATGTTCAAATTTCGAGTTCCGACTCTACATCATGGATGTTAGTGGTAGTAGTCAAACAATTGTTGCTGTGAGGTAGATTCTGTATTTAGTGTGGGTGGGTTTGGATCTAAACTGGCTTTTATATATATTCACATTTTTTAAATTTCTTATATATGTAGAAATGTTCGAGCTGAAAGCAGTGAATTTGATCATACCTGCCTTGACATTTTTTGTTGCATAAGGAAGTTGCATGAAGAAGTTATATGTAATTGCATCATTTTGTGTACATCGTGGATGTTAGTGGTAGTACCCAAAGTATTATTGCTATGAGGCAGACTCAGTTGTTAGAGTTAGTGGGTTTGGATTTGGACGGACTATTATATATACACACATTTTAAAAGTTCCTTATATATGTACGAATGTGTGATCTGAAAGTTGTGAATTTGATTACACCTGCATTTAGTGGACTGCCTAAATCAGTGGAAATAAAGGTTTATTGCTTAAAAAGGCTTTAGTATCTATAATATCCAGGTTCAATGATGACTAAAATCAAATGGATGTTCTTCTACGTTGACAAAAATTTTCTCAAACGTTTATGAGAAAAATAGGTTCCATTAACTATGTTAGATCACTGAATTTCTTAGTGCTATGGAGGTCACTCGTAATTTTGACTTTTATTTCTGCTAGAACATATGGCTGCATTTTTTGGGTAAGTTATGCCAAAGAACTCCTCAACTTTGATAGGAGAACTTCTTATCTTCGGTTTTGTGCTATAAACTAATGGCTTACTTGGGTTTTAGCCACATTAACACTCACTTGACATGAAGATTTTTCCATCTGCCTTGCCGGACTTATGCAAAGTTGTCTGTTATATAACAATGGAAGACATCAATTTTATCATGCTTAAAATTTTGTACAGAGTCTATGCATTTCAGGGAGATAAATATGCATATCAAAACAGGTTTTGTTACAGTACACACCCATTCTAGCAGAGGTGTACTCTTGTGATTTACTGCACCCACTTTCTAAAATTCTGGATCTGCCTCCGAGAGCTAGGTATTTGAACAAGTGTTGTTATTCAATTCTATTTGAAATATATCATATGTTTCTGAAATCATTATTGTAGACAACAGTCAAAACTGATAGTCGTATCATATGCCATTCATAATTACCAATTAGTCATGGCTTACTTTATAGTATCAGATATTTAAGCATCTCTTCTTTTAGCATCATTCACTCTTTGATACTAATTAAAATTTGTCTGTCCAAACTTTTATATTGGTTTTGCCTCTTATCCCCCTTTAAGTTAACTTATTAAAATTTTGTGCTGCACTGAACTTCTTTCCTTCTTATGTCTCCGTATTGTTCATGGTCTTGAGCAGATATCTTCTGTCAGAGATATATCACGAAGTACTATGGCTGAGAATTCTGAAAGTTCCAACAGTCGGCGTTTACTTAGATTAAAGCTCACTGATGGGCACTCTGAAATCACTGCTATAGAGTACTCTCATATACCATCAATTCCTGATGATGTTGTTCCTGGCACTAAGGTATCCTCCTTCTCTAACTATTTGGTAGAAGAAAAAAGTAGTAGATGGTTTACGTTCTCATATACATCCTATTGGCATGTGCTTTACCGAGAATAATGTATCTCTTTTTTCCTAAGAAGGAATATGAATGTCTTTTTATTACTATTGCAATCATTTTTACAAATAATTATTCCTAAATCGTGTAATTCTTGACTCCTGTGGGTGATCAATACAACCTTCGACATATGATATAGACAGTTTAAAGCTTGCCAGAGGCGACCAGTTAACGGGTGTATCTAGTTGCCAGTGATAAAAGTTCCAACTTATGACTGTCTTATTTGTTGGTAGTATACTATGATATGCTGCACAACTTAGCAATGATTCCATGTCTGTATGTATTCTGCTTTTCAGGTGCGCTTGGAAAACAAAGCCACAATTCACAGTGGTATTGTGTGTTTGAATGCCAAAATGATTACTGTTTTAGGAGGAACTGTTAGTTCTCTTTATGAGGAATGGCAGATGAACAAAAAATATTCAGGTTTCTCCCGTTCAACCTTGAAAGTAGCACACGAGGATGGAACTGCTGGTCCACCACCATTTGAAAAGTTGCAGATTGGAGCTTTGCAGAAACCCCTTTCTCAGCATAAGAGATATTCTGGTCAGAGGCGTCACACTTTTGATTTGACAATATATATTTGCCCTCCTGTCATCCTGCATTTAGATTTTTATTCATCGAGCTCTGGCATACTATCTTTAAATCATACCTCTTATTAGTTGATCCGTACAAGGCAATTAATGTTTTTGTTCGTGGGGAGGGTGGGTTTTGTTTCCTTGGCTGTCTTATGTATGGATGTCGCAGTTATTTAACATGTATTAATATTTCCTCCAATACTCTGGTGTGAAGATGTTTCTCCGTCATTTGGTAAAAGAGCATGTCTCACTTATGCAGAAAAAGCTCAAAGTTCCACAGCTAGTCAAACACATAGATTTCAGAACAATGAGTCAAGGATAGAGAGCACGGGTAATGAACTGAAGCCACCGGCTCATATTGAAAGGATTGAAGAAAAGCCAAGCACATCTGAATCAAGGCCAAAAGAAGGTGTAGTCTAGTTGTCAAATTGTTATCTAATGGAAATACATGCTGCATTCTCTTCATTCATCCTGACATTTCACTGTCAGCATGTCCTTTACTTTCACTATATATTGAAATTACTTAAATCCTTAAAGTGTGTTCACCCTTAACCTTACATATATCTTTGTCTGACAGTGGCCGAGGCTGTCCCTGTTCAAAACCAAGCAGCTGCGCAAAAATTACTACAGAAAATGAGTCAGCCTCCTCCTCGTGGTGGTCATCATTCTAGAGGGCGAGGACACAGGGGAAGGGATAGAGAGGAAGATGAGTCACACCTTCTTACCCTAGAGGAATGGGAAAGGAGAAAAACTGGTGCTAATGTTTCTGCAGCTCGTAATTTCCCTGATGTTAGCCAAGATGAGGATCTTGCTAGACAGCTGCAACATCAACTAGATTTCGAAGATTTGCATGTAAGTAACTATGGTTTTCAATATTCAAATGATAGTGGCACCCTGTCACCTATATTTTCACCCTTTCAAATTCATAATGTGGTCTCTCCATATGTAATAACCTTAAGATTTGAAAGGAAGATCACGCCTTGGCCATGAATCGGTGTAAAGCTCAGATAGAGTTATCATGACAAATATTTCGACAAGTGTGTTTGATATGGTTGTTATACCAATTTCCAGGAACAAGAAGATAGTACAACCACTGCGGCAGAGAACATCAGAATGAGCATGTTCACATTTGAAAGAGAGGATGGTGGAACAACAGGATTTAGGGGAAGAGGGAGAGGAAGAGGAAGAGGGAGGGGCAGAGGAAGAGGTAGGGGAAGGAGAGGCTGAATTTCGTCTACCGGTCAGCCTTTCTGCCTTTTCATTTTACTACTCCCTCGTTTAAAAATGAATGACCTTTTTAGTCTGTTTCAAAAAGAATGTCTTGCTCCTTTTCTGGTAACATTTTAATTTCAGTTGTCACGTGACATGATTAAAGCCACAAGATTGAAGAGCAATTTAGTACATTTGACTTAACTTTAATTTAGGACCGCAGATTCAAAAGTTTCTTTATTTTTTAAAATTTTGTGTCAAGTTAAACGAGGTCATTTTTTTTAAACGGAGGGAGTATATAGTATTTGTGGAATGCACGAAAAGCATTATGGAGAAGATCAAAAAAATATACTCTATTTGCTCGACCATCTTGAATTTTTTTTCTTAATTTATCAATTGTGAAATTTGAATTATTTGATACGTAATAAGAAAGTAAGAAATATCGAAATTTTCCAATTTGTTCGTATTGTAACAAGATGAACTAAAAGCACATGTCGGTGTATAATGATATATATATATATATATGAAAACACGTTTGAATATTGGATGACACCTTATTTTATAAAAATTGAATAAATTATAATTCATTGTTCCTATTCACCTTCTTATTTGTTTTTTAAAAAAATCTACCACTTTTTATATGTATTTGGAGTACATGTTCTCTAATTAAGTGTTAAATTTGTTGTATCGAATACGATACAATGATAATTGATAAAGTTGTTCTTCTCTTGACTTGAGGTTTCAAATTCAAATTTTAAGTATGAAAAATATCCTTGATAGCGAGTATTATTTCGAATAAAATTTTACCTAATATAAATTTAAAATAATTAAATTTCAATACAGAGATAGAGATTGATGTCATTATCTACTTTTTGTTAAACTTCTCCTTCTCTCCTTTGTCTTTTATCCATGTGGTCAGCAAAAATGGGACCCTTGATTCACATGGTCAATCAAACTCAGAAGAGTGAAATATTTTTTTAAAAAAAATAAGAGAGCCAAAAAGAAACATACATTGTGAGTTTGTGACACCCTTTCATTGACCAATGAAGTGAAAAAAAAGAAGCAACAACTCGAAGATTCAGCGTAATGTAAAGTTTGAAAAAAGTGATGTGTACACAATCTTACTTTTATATTGAAAAAATAGAGATTGTTTCTAATAAACCTTCTGTTCAAGATAAACATACAAGCATGTAACACAAATAGAATAGTGAAAATTCAAACTAAAAACAATGAAGAAGAGAATGATAAAGACAATAAATAGCATGATGATCGAAATCTCAAAAGAGTATTCATAAATAAGATTTCGTGTCTTCTTATATCTACAATAAGTGCATAATGACAAAGTCAGAAATATTCAATATGTAATATATAATATTAAATAATTCGATGCACAAATCATCTGATGTTCATACGAGGTTGAGAGAGAGGGCAAACACCGGTAATATAGGTGGCACATACTAACACAAATCACACAAATATGAAGTGTTATGCTAAAGATATATTACTTATTAATTTTATCTTTAATCACTTATCAATTTTTTTATTTATTTGTATTTAATTATTCATCCATTTTGATAAATCAAGAAAGGATAAAAAAAAAATTTGTCTATTATATCCTCAATAATTACTTTGGAAAAGATAACTTTTTTTATAAAATTTTAATTTGTTGATTCATTCACTTCATAATTAATAGGATAAAATGATAAATTTACTACGTAAATAATTATTTTAATAGATATATTAATCTAAAAGTGGAGAAGTAATTAGGCATAGAGAGTATTATTTTGTTGAAAGTGTAATGTGCATCGCATGATAATTATGTCTCTTATTTTTCTTTTTATTATTTTGTTTTATAAAATGTTAATATATCTATATTAAAATATTCCTTCACTTTAATATTGCACTTAGAAATATTTTTAAAAATATTTGGCAGTATATTGTGTCATTTAACTTAAAATACTTTTTTTTCATATTTTTTCATTTTTTGAATTATATATAGTTAGAAAAAAATTCTTGAAATTAAACATTCAGTGCGTGTTGTTACTTGCCAGAATGCCAGAGCAAGAAATAAAACAGCGTCGACTTATTATTAAAGATATTACGAGATAATTGAGATTTCTTTATTTAAATTAAAGTTCATATTCAAATGTTTGAAAACGAAAAATATTATTTAGATTTTTTTTACGAAAAATAATTTCATAATGCACAAATTTAAATATAATTTAACCTTAAAATATAAATTTAAAAAAAAAGAAATGAAAGATCGAAAAGAGCAAAAAAAAAATCATGTCCTTCAAAAATCAAATCTAATAGTTACGATTTTTGTCACTATGTTATAATTTTAATACAACTTTGATTCTCATCTAATTTGACTAAGCATATTTAACTTTAATTCTTTAAACTAATGAAAATCAAACTCTAACCAATTTAATGTTTCATATTCGAGTCTTTATATATACATAGTCGTCTTTGTTAGAAAACGTTTGATATAAAACTTATCGACATGAATTCAAATTTAGTGAAACTTCAATATAAATACTAAACTCGCAATTTTCAAAATATTACTCCGCCACGTCAAAATCCACCTCAAGTCCCTCATTTTTGTTATAAATACTCGTTAACCCCCTATAAATTTCGAGTCTTTTCATTCTCATCGAAGAGTCAAGATAGCAGCTTGGCAACTCAGCTGCAGCCTTTTCAGAGTTGTTCAAAAGCACTAGGGTTTCAGAAAAATTCGATCTTCAGAGTACTGAATCATCACAAAGGAAGATTCTACGATAAGGGTTGTTCAGATCGGTGTTTGTAAAACATCTGGTAACTCGTTTTATGGAAGATTGATATAGTTTTTTGTTAATCAGCAAGTTGTGTTATTTGATCTGTTCATTTTGCTTATTTTTCGCCTTTGATTGTGTTTTGGTTGCTTAAAACGTGATTTTTTATGTGGGTTTTGGTTGTTTGAGTGTCTTTTCGTAAAATTTGATTTCGGTTTGGTGTTTGAGGTCAAAATTAGGCGTTTTGGTATTGGGAAATTGGGGAATTTAGGAACTGGGGAAGTGTTTGATTTTAGATGTGGGTGTTTTGGTTGTTCTAGTGTTTATTCATAAAAATTGATTTGGGTTTTTTGTTTGAGGTCAAAGTTAGGCTTGTTTAATCGGAGAACTGGATAAGTGATTGATTTTAGAGATGGTTTCAGTCGGTTTATTCCCAAAATTTGATTTGGGTTGGGTTTGGCATCGAAATTAGGCATTTTGAATCGGAAAACACAGTAGAAGTGTTTGATTTTGGATGTAGGTTTTGGTCTGTTTATTCACAGAATTTGATTTGGGTTGTATTTGGCATCAAAATTAGGCCTTTTTAATCGGTGAACCGTAGAAATGTTTGATTTTAGGTGTGGGTTTCAGTTGGTTTAGTTGGAAATTTTTTATTTGAGTAGTGTTTGACGTCAAAATTAGGCCTTTTCAACGAGAGAACTAGGTTTTGTTTGTTTTGAGGAGTTAATTGGATTTGTGATTTGTTAAATTGGATGATTGTTTGAGTTTATTCATTAAATTGGAACTGGGTTTGGTGTCTGAAGTCTAATCAGGCCTTGTTTAATTGGATATTGATTGAGTTCATGATTTGTGCCAATATTTGTTGAGGATTTTTATGGCTGTTTTTAGTGTTTGTTTCCATTGAGATTGGGTTGCATGTTATAGTTGAAGTAGGTTTCAGAAGAAGTGCTTGAGCTAATGTTTCAAGCTGAAATCTATTGAGAGATCATGAGCTTGTTGGACTTGGGAAGTGAGTAGTGCTAATAGATTGTTGATTATGTTTCTTTTTATCTGATATTTACTTATAGGATCTGGTATTAAGTTGATGAAGGGCCACATGATATTATTGAAACACTTAAAGATAAGAACTACATGTTTACTTTATTTTTAATAATTGCTAATGATCTGTGAATGCTGGTTGGTATGGGGTGGAAATCTTGTTGATCAAGTTCGTGTTCACGTTGTCATCTGTACTGTTGGTGTATTAGCGAGTTGGTACAGGAGAGTGACTGAGAACTGTAATTTGGCAACTTTAGGTTGTATTTGACAAAAGTAACATGTCAAGTTTTGAACTTTTTATTAGGATGTTTTGAGTTAGAAGAAATGAACTTCTGGAGTTAAATTAATACATACATTTTTTTGCAAATGAATTAGTGTTAGTATGAAAAAAGGTTTGATTTAGAATTTTCAGTTGGGTCTTGCAGCCTCAATATGTTGCAAAGCTCTGGGTTTGCTTATGGTGAGTCACATGTGAGGATGGATGCTCCTTTTGGTTTGGGCTGATGCTTGTGAGAAGTGCTTTCCATCAGGCTCCAAGTGACCCGGGCTAATTATGCCAAAGATTTGGGTGGAAAAGTGAAGTTCTGTTTTAGTTGCATGGATGAGAGGACTTGATATCTACTGAAGATGCTTCATATAATAACATGATGTGAAAATTTTTGTCAGGGTATGTGGATGATCACCCTAATTAATCCTATTCATTACTTGAAGTGAATATGTATCTATTGGGTGTTACAAACCCTGAATGAGTATGGTAGTTGAAGTACCAACCAGTTTATTTGGATTAGGTGCAACTTGGTTTTCATGGATTTGGACAGATTCAGTAGGAGATAGATTTATTTGGCTAATAAAGCCATTTCATCTTGACACGGCTTCTGTTCTTTTTGTTTTCCATGTTTTGCTAACTTAAAAGAGTTAGATATTTGATTACTGTTGCGATTCACACAATGGTGATATCGAGAATATTCATGTAGTGTTAAAGATATGCAGTGTGTGATTTCCGTGTATTCATCATGGGAACTGTTGTCAGTTCACTTCCTTTATTGAATTTTTCACTAATTACTTTATGGGTGTATATGATTGAACAAAGATTCTAATAGGAATAGGAATGATCACTTCAGATAGAGGATGCAAGTAGCTCATATAGAGGATAAATGAGAGAGAATTGTTTAGTATGGTTTGTTTAGATCCTATGCTGACAAGGTGTGCACTGGTTCATGTGTAAAACACTGCGATGATTGGGGATGTCCTAGAAAGAGACGGGCAGATTGAAAGACGCATGATATCTGAATGCTGACTTGGCTAAGAATGGGACATGAGGCACTACATACTAGTTGTGTCTTAGGCTTAGTTGCTGTTGTACTTGCATCAGATCTGGTGCCTTCTAGTTGCCTGAATGAAGTTTTTTCTTGTGCTTCTGGTTGTAGATCGTCTCTCAGTGTTGGTGTAACAATCTTAAAAAAAGAATATTTACTAAGTAGTGAGGTGAAATGGACCCGAATAAAGAGGACCTTAAATACAGTGTTCACTAGTTCCTTCTGATTTTGGATTCATGCTTAGATGATTGTTGAATGTTATATCTTTTTAGGTGTTTTTGTTAAAGTTGGTGGTTATACTCTTCTAGCCTTTTACGGCAAGTTTTGTTTATGACATAGTTTCTGTTTTTGTCATACATTAGTTGTTCAGCCTTTTATCTGAACTGACGTCATTAATTCCTTATTTATTCGTGATGCATGCTAAACTGATCAGATTAATACAATGTTACTGAATAAGCATTTTAACCATTTGGCTGAGACATGTGATATTGATTCCTGTTTGCCTTTCTATTTAAATTCTTTTTTAGACTTGACATAGTTTGTGTACACATGTTAATTTATATATTGGTCTTTTGGTGAAGGTTTCTGCATGGATTTGTATTTCAGCACTGCTTACATAATTTTTTGTCACGTGACAGTTCTATTTTCTTATAGAAACTAAACATGCCTAAGGAGAGAAGAGATAGGTCTGTTTCTTTTGATAGGAGCAGAGCTTCTCCTTACTGTTGTAGCTCGAGTCACTCAAGGTCATCATTGTCCAAAAACCCTTTGGAAAATGAGGAAAATGTGAAGGACTGGGAAGATGCTCGATGCCCAGTGTGTATGGAACATCCTCATAATGCTATTCTCCTTCTGTGTGCCTCTCATGAGAAGGGCTGTCGTCCTTTTATGTGTGACACAAGTTATAGGCATTCAAATTGTTTTGATCAGTTCAAAAAGTCATTTGAAGAAGCTTCAGCATCAACAACTCAGCAAGTGGAGATTCCAGCTTCAGCTTCTATTACGGAATCTACTGTAACGTTATCAGAAGCTCTGTCTGAACTTCCAGGTGAAAGGACCGAAGGTGGTTCTATATCCCTAGATGCCTTGTCTTGCGAGAACCATGAAATAAAGAAGATGCTATGCCCTCTCTGCCGTGGCCAGATAAATGATTGGATTGTTGTAGACTCTGCCCGTCGTCACATGAATGCCAAATTAAGAAGCTGCTCTAGCGAGACATGCGAGTTCAGTGGCACATATACAGATTTGCGTAAGCATGCTAGGCAGGAGCATCCTCTTGTACGTCCTACAGAAGCTGACCCAGAGAGGCAGCGCAGTTGGAGGAGGCTGGAACGACAGAGAGATTTAGGAGATCTGCTCAGTACATTGCAGTCATCTGTTTCAGAAGAGGGTAGTGAAAGCACCAGTTTAACCTTTGATGAGGGTGGTTTGCTGACTGTTTTTCTCTTTGTTCGGATTCTCCAACCTAGGAGTAGTTCTCGGAGTAGTAGCTGGTCAGGTTCCTCAAGAACCCGGGCTCAGGCAACTGGGAGGAGACGACCTTCAAGAAGACTTTGGGGTGAAACTTATGAAGGGGAAATTGATACTAGGGATGACGAGAATGACGACTCTGATGGAGGATCAGGTCCCCGGAGACGCCTGCGTCGACAACCAACCCCAGAAAATTAGTTCTGGCTGCAAACATGTGTTTGCTTGCTATTCCTTTTGAATGTTACCGCTGTAGGTACTTGTAGCATATACTACTACAGTCATAACTCATTTCTCTTCTTTGTTATACCTTTTTGTTTGGGAAATTTCAACAACCTGAGAGTGGTTTTCTGTGATCACTTTTAGGTGGAGGGAAACCTCGTGGTCCAAAATATGTCGTGCTGAAAGCTGGGGAATCGCTTCTTGGATACAAGATTCGGATGGAAAATTGTGTTTGGTTAGTAGTATAACTTGTATACATGTCCTTCTTGATGAAATCTCATCTCATCCTGTGTGCTATGCAAATGCTTTATATCTACTTGAATTGATAAAGTTGGAAAGCAATTTGCTAGTTTTGCTTCTCGTCTTATGAATAAACCCCATTACTGCAAGCAAAATATTAAACTTTGGCTACTACAGCATGAAAGGAATATTCACTTTGCTTTTAGCTGTTCATATCCCGTCTCTTCGAATATATGTCCCAGGTTATCTATTGCGCGAGATTCGTGAAAATCATAGAATTCGAAAGAAATGTTTTGGAGCAACGGTAAGTTGTTATTATACTATCTCGTAAGTGATCTGATTGTGTAAATATTATACACACGATGCTCATTAGGTTTATGTATCCCCCTCATCAACAAATAGGGGTGGTGAAGTTGTGGACTAAGCTTAGAATTGGGTCAATGTGTGACTATTTGCCTTAGAAAGCCCATATCTCATTCTTTTCCTCTATAACTAAACTAGCCAATAGTCAATGTTACACAAGTAGTCTTAAACCACCTCTCTCTCTCCCACGCGCATGTATAATTGCACGATTTGTACTTCAAATGAGTTGGTCTTTAATTTTTTTGCACGGTAGCAATCAAACTCGGGACATCGTGGCCATTGGGGCATTAGTTATTTAAAAATTGAAGTCATGTCTAGCCATAACTTATGCCTTGTGGGATATTATAATACGAAATCATAAACTTTTATGTTGCTACGTGAATCTTTGATTAGTTGAATCTCTAAATTTTAAATATAATACAAGAGGATCAGAATACTATACAAGAAGCGACATTGTAGTTTAAAATTTCAAATAACATCTATGTGTGTATTAAATCTAAATTCATTATCACGAAAGTGTATTGCATGAAGTTATATTTCATATTCCTTTACTTTAAAATTTTGAATATTATGGCTTTGTTATCTCAAACTTCGAGCTCGTACCGGTCCAAGTACATGTAAAAAAAGGGGAAAATAATCTATAAATATCGAGATAAATGTTAGGGATGATCGAAAATAATCTATAAATATCGAGATAAATGTTAGGAATAATCGAAAATAATCTATAAATATCGAGGTAAGACTATGTAGATTTTACCGTTCTACAACTTTACTTGTGGTATTAGACTATATTTACGTTGGCTACTATACAATAAGAATGTTATGGAATCATAATAAAATTTCCTTTTTTTTTTTTTGGTTTTCCCAAATGATCAAGAAAAAGAAGAAATAATTAATATTTTCAAGATAACTATATTACTAAATATTGTTTTTATGAAACTCAAAATCTGATATAATCCTAAAAAATGAACTGTATATGAATAGTTTCAATAAGATCTCATTCTTGAACATTTTTTTTTTTTAATAATTATCACAAGAGACCTACTTTATGGTCAGCTTAATATTACAACATTATTTAATTAAAGAATATAGTTTTTCTCTCCTTAAAACATATATTCTGTCGTCCTCAATAACACATAAAACTAATTAAAGTTCCACATTTTCAGCATAAATGGAAAGATTTAAAATTCACAAAAATTAAAACTTTATGATTTGTAAAATTGTACCACGTGCAGACCATTAGGAAATATAAACTATATATTATAAAAAAAAATAGGTTTTTTTTATACTAAGTGACAAAATAGGACAAATTAATGTTTCTAGACCCCATTAATTAATTAATTTGTAGCTGCCCATAATATTATGTCCCCAGACAAAGGCTAAAATGTTTTGCAGAAAGAAAGACGCAAGCAATTTCCTAAGTATATACCTCCATGTCCCCTTTTTAAGTGTTTTAATTTCCACTTACATTATGCTTTTATCTACGTATTCGATATAACCTCACGAGTGAAGTGTAGAGTGAGCAGACATTGGTGAGAGTCGAAATATTTACTATGGGGTGTTGAAATATTGAAAAAAAATGAAGACACGTGAAAGATAAGGAGAGTACGTCTATATATTCAGAGATCTAAAATTTCAACCTAGCTAAATATATTTCGAGGAAAGGATCTTGGTATAAGATGGTTCGGCCGACCGCCATTAAGTATAGAGTTTACGTTACATTTTTTTTATGAAATTTTGTGTTTGAGTATAGAATGTACACAGTCAATCTTTAATCTAATGTTTTGGAGGTTCAATATTTATATACACACGATAAAAGTCTAAAATATCATATATATCATGTAATTTTTGTTGAGGAAATTCAAATGAACCCTCTAGATTGCGGCTTCATTGATTTTTTTTTCTTAAAACATAGTTATATGAATTTATTTTTTGTTCACTTTTAAAATGTTGACACCATATATGAAAATTCATTTATATGTTATTGAACTTATGAGTTCACGTGAACACAGTAAATTTGACTTAGACCTTATATTATTTTATTATTAAGAAATTTACGAAATATCTATAAATATTTTAATTTATTGTATATTAATTAGAAAATTGATGCAAAAATTTATGAACTTTAAATGTTGAATTTGCCTCAACTGTAACATGAGGGGATTTTTGTCATTTTTAATTTTTTTTTGAATATGTATAATACTAATTTTATTGCATGGTTCAACATTGTATTTACATAAATAAGTACATATTTTTTTTCTGATTTCTTATACTCCTCCCATTGCTATATATCTAGCTTTATTTTTCTGTTTTTTATCCAAGATTCTTAATAAGCTTTTTTTTTTAAAAAAAAATACACTTTATATATATTAACAGTAATATATAGTTTATCGTGGAAGGATATTCAACTGAACACTCTTTTTGGAATACGGCTCCACAAATATTATTAAGATTGTCACTCACTATCTAATTAACTTTTCACTTTTTTTTTTATAACCATGGAGTGTTCGCGTCAGTTTTCTCAATATCTCAATTAATTTCAGGGGATATATATCACCTCCCACCAAATGCACGTACGAGGTAATAACTACTCTGCCCACCAAGACAATCGACCTGAAACCTCGCGATTCTCAAATCACTAGGTTACATATGAATCACATTCCATTTGATCATTACAAAACACCCAAAGAACTAATTAATTCAAACCACAAAAAAAAAAAAAGCAACACTATAAAAGAATTGGATCTTGTAAAGATATGATATTTAGGTCAAATTAAAAGATTTTGTCATAAGAAAAAGATTGGTAGTTGTTGTGGGATTTTAGTAGGCAAGGGAGAAGAATGTATGGGGCAAGTTATGGAGATTTGAGTTTTTCAATTTATTTGTTACCTTTCTTACATACTAACTTATATATGTCTACTAAAATTGCAACCAAAAGGGAAAATGATAAGATCATGCAGGCACAAAGGGGGATATGAAACAAAATAATTAAATGAAAACTTTGTTATAATGTTTATTTTTTGTTAAATAAGAACAAAAGAAAAAACTTTTGGCTTTTGAAAAAAGTTCAATATATCAAATAATGGAGTCAAACATATATATTTTTGTAATTAAATTATATGATCCTTGTCTATATGAAATATTACAATAATGTTTTGGTGTGTGATTGTTGGTTATTGATATAGAAGAATATTCCAAATAAAACTAATTTTTAAATTAAAATCAGTAGTTAAATTTGAAGTATGTTAGTTTACTGATCTACATAAAATACTATCATGAAAATGTTGTTATGATGCATGAATCATTTTGTGTTTAAATATTATTAGGGAATGTTGTTATGATGCATGAATCATTTTGCGTTTAAATATTATTAGGGAATGTTGTTATGATGCATGAATCATTTTGCGTTTAAATATTATTAGGGAATGTTGTTATGATGCATGAATCGTTTTGCGTTTAAATATTATTAGGGAACGTTGGTTGTTAGGTTGTACGCATCAAGCATCTCACGTTTATGCATAATTTAGAGAAGGATCACATTTCAATGAGGTATAATGTAGGCAATCTATTATTAAAAAAGCATGAACAATTAATAACAAAAATTTATATTGAAGAGATAAGTACTTTTTCGTTTAATATTTATAAAAAAATCTCATATTCGAATTTCAGATTATAAAACCACTTTTAGTCGAGGACACTTAACTCTTTGACCTAGATAAGAGACTTGGGGATAAGATGATTTTACGAGTGAGCTAAAAAAGTTTTAAGGTTGGATTTTACAACAAACCAACTAAGAAGTTTAAGACTAGTATTGCATCATTGATGCAGTTGTCGATTCTCTCGAAAGGTCACAACTATCAAACTCCAGAAAATAGGATAGCGAAACAATGTACAAACACCTTTCTTCATTTCATTTCAAACTAACCAAACCTATTTCCAATATCAGTCACCTCTTATCTTCTAATCTACCGTATTTTCATCGATTAGTCTTTTAACACAAATTTAAATTAATCAAAACTCAAAACGAATACAAAATTTAAAACGAATAAAAAGACAAAAATAACAAGCAAACTCCTCTAGACAAGAAGACAATGATATATAGTGGTAATAATACTTCCAAACAACAAATCTTTTTTCATAACATTATCTTCATTATTATTAACCTTTAACTACCAAAACTGCAAGCCTAGAAGAGTAGGTGAAAAATCTAGGTACTTGTAGCCAATAGATTTCAATTAAATCTTTGATAAATACTCTTTTTTTTTCTTTTACAGTAATACTTTTTTCATAAAATTCAGTGCATGTAAAAAAAATGGTAAAAAAATTTTGTAGGTCAAAGTTCAAATTCTCTTTCCAAAATAAAATACTATATACTAAATAAAAATTAAAGTTTTTTCTAGTAAAACTCTTCATCAATTATAATTATTTAAATAGCACGACTGTAATCTTTTTGGTCAGAAAAAATTAAAACTTTTAATTTAGTGCGATCCAGTTAATTGGCAATATATATATATGTAGTTCTCTTTTTTTTTTTTACTTAAAAAGGAATGTTTTTAGATCAATTGAAAAATAATCATAAACATAATAAAGGTTAAAAGCTGCACTAATTAGAAGTACAATGAATCTGAAAAAAATTAAAATATTTGTGTAAAAAGGTAAATCTATATTATTTTTTTTTCTTCATATTGGTAGTTTTTCTATTAGTTTTCGTGTCTACAGACTCTCCTTTCTTTTTATTCGATCTCATTCTGTCTCTAGTTTAAATTATAAAAATAATTTATTTTATAAACAACGTAAAAATTATATTTACTGCATCATATATAGGTGAATTTATAATTTAAACTTAACTTTATGATTTCTACGTCTCAGGATAATGACCATAATTTGTTTTAAAATAAAGTCTGAAACTTATCATGAATTAAATTATAATCGATATTTTGGAGAAGTAAAGTGAAAACTCAAAAAGAGGTTGGGTATATGTATTTTCACATGTTTGGATAAGTAAACAATAAACACGAAAAATATATTTATTTTCCAAAGAAATTCAAATAGAATCAAACTCAAATATTTATATGTACTATAACGTAAAAGAACATTTACATAATTAAATTATTAGTATAAGATAATTCTAAGTAACTCTTTTTTATACTCCATAAGCATAATTTTGTAAGTTGTAAACCTAATAAAAATTACGGAACCCAATTTACTATGATTAACAATATACACAATGTAAATTCACAAGAATGTAATGTGTACATATTGTCACTGTGATTCTAGCGTAATTTTCAATCGAAAAAATGTCAGATCTGACTCTGTTTCTTCATAATCTTATCTTTATCGTATAAAGATAGAGAAAACTCTGATCAACTTATAAACATATAAAAATCAAATATATGATATTAATCTAATATTATATATTATAGGCCAAATACATAAGCAGATCCCTAAACTTGTTGGTATTTTTTCCTCGGGTACCTCAACTACGTCATTTTCCTATTGAATCATTGAACCTCCATAATTTGTTCCGTTTAAACAAACACCGTTGTCTGATGTGGGACCAGATTTGTGAGGAGTATTGATACAGGATACATATGTTGTTCCACAACTCATTAGTCCAATTGATAGTGAAAATGTTGGAGAGTAATTGTGTTTTACTTAAGTCATTTGAACACATTAGAAAACAAATGAGACTAACACGGTTTGTCTTCATTCATTTAATCAAAATTATTACAATTCGAACACAATTGAAGGCATTTACTACAGAAAAGCCGATCAAAATCGACTTACAGCATTTTAAAGGAACAAATTATGTGTGGTTCAATGATCAATAAAAATGACATAGTTGCGGTACCTGAAAGAAAAAACCCAACAAATTTAGAAATCTGTTTATATATTTGGCCTATATTATATTATATCAAAAAAATATATGTTATATACGATCGATATATATAACTTAAATCCGCGATAAAATTTATCATCATTAATCTACATAGTGATTCCATATTTGAGTACGTGTATATAAGTCTATAAAGCTAGTGGACAATGAATAGAGCACGGGTATTTTCATGTACACTTTCTACTTTATTACTTCTTTTATGAAATAAATTGTAATTATTATTTTTTCTGTCAAAGTTTTTATTTTCTCATACTAATAGTAAATTTATCAGAACTTTTTGACCGTCAAAAGTAGAAAAAAATAAAGGAGTATTTTTCATGAATATACTCATCATGAATATTGTTGTTATTGGAGTTAGAAATAATTAGTATCTTTATTATAATATATTTATATACTTCAAACATAATTATAGTAGTAATTATAATAATTATTATTACTAGTATTTTTTTTAAAATAATTAAATTATTTGTCTTGATTTTAATTAAAATATATTATTTTAAATTATTTGTTATTTTAAAAATTCAGCAAGCAACATATTAGTTTAATCTCATATGCTACAAAATGAGAAAAGTATGATATACACCAATTTTAATCCATATTTGCCCTTTTCACTAAGGAAGTTTTATATCTTTTTAACAGTAAATTACATTTACTCGTAAAATTATATTTATGATTTCACAAAAGATAGTAGTGAAAAATATTATATAATATATGTTTTTGAATATTTTTTTAAATAGGTGTATATTGCTTCACAAATTCAGTTAATACTCACTTTGTACAATTTTAATTATCATGTTGCGTTTTTCGAAAGTCAAATTTATTAATTTTCAAAGTGAAATTTGATTACATGAATTTGTTACTTTAAACAAAAAATTTAGATGTTCAAAAACTATACGAAAGTATTATAAAATATAATTTTTTACATACCAATATAATGAAAAACTACATTGTAAAATGTTAGTCAAAATACTTATCATTTAATACTTAAAAACAAACACAATAATTATAAATGAACGGAAATAGCATAAAATAAAATAAAAAGTAATAAATATTTTGAAACATAATTGTTACACTAATGGTGATGTTGATTTCGATAAGATAAATGGTGTCATTTTCGACTTTAAATAAGTCATTAACTCATTACTATATAATTTGACACCCAATTATATAAAATCTTTTTAGTTATAATTAATTTCCCATGATTTATGGCATATATTTCATTATCTAAAGAGTAATAGGTAGCTTTTGCCCGAGAAATATGCAAAGCATTGTCAAAACCACATGATCCATAATTATATCATTAATGATGACATGAAATGAACATTTTTTTTCTCATAATTATTTGATATTCAAATTTTATTACGATCTATAATAATTATGTCTCAATTTGAAGTAAGTTGAGATCGTTTATATGAATTAAAGTTTATTTTATATCATCATCATGTGAAATAAGTAAATAAAGTCATATATCCTCTACTATGTACGAGAAATCATTCGTACGTTTTTTAAAACAATTTTTCTTTTATGTATATATCTTGTTTTCTTTTAATACCTTCATACCATAGTTTCATACTTTAATTTAAGAGATACGTATTGAAAATACTTTTACATTTTTTATGAATTATTAGTTTATTTTTAAATTATTGACAGCATTAAAAATATTAATTTACTTGACTAACTGAGCTTAATACAGCCATGATCTTGCCACAGAAATGAAATACACCCTTAAATTTTTCCAAGCGCTTTTACAAGAGTTTGAGATCATTTGCTATGTCATGTCGAGGCAGATTGAAAATATATTTAAGTTTGAGGGCGAAAATAAGCAATAACGTCAGGTTTAAAAGTGTTTTCAATACTTCTATGTTCACTTAGCTATGTTTGTATAAGTATATTCACATTATCGCTACTCTTAATCCCAAATAAAGGAAGAGGATTATAATAAACTAACACCAACATAATACTCAATTAAGAATAAAATTAGGCTCAATTAACTAAATACATTTTTGACATAGCAAACCTAACCAATTAAGTTAAAGTAAAAAAAAAAATGATGTATCACAAATGTGATACCATGTGTTAAAAAGGTATACACGTTCTATCCATTTCCAAAATTACCTCGAATTTTCATCAATATTCTTTTCTAAAATAAAATAAAATTCTTCCATTACTATAAATAGGATTTTGTGACATAGATCCACATTAATTTTTGAAAATATTTTAAAGAACCCACTATTATTATGTACTAATGTTTATACTTTTTAAAAAGTGAATTAATATTTACATGTATGTTAGAGAAAAAAATTTATGTAAAATAATTGATAATTCATTTAAAAAATCAAAATATTACGACATAAAAAAAGAGAAAAAAATATACAAAGTATATAATAAAAATATATTAATGTATGACACCATGACATGGGGTCAAAGAGGAGAACAAAGCTTCTAGACTAATTAAATTTTTAAATAATGCACATGATATTATAAATGAATTTTATATTATGATTAAAAAGATGGTGGAAAGCTTTATAAACTATATTATAAGTTTATATAATATACTTAATAATATTTAAGCTCTGTGATAGTACTGTTGCTCAAAAACAAATTTATGAAGTTTATTTGATTAAAATAACCAACATATGTTATGATATTGAGTTGTGACTAGTTAAAGGAACATACTTACTTCATCAACATATTTTCACCAAATTAATAAATATAAAATGCATGCTTTTATATATACATATTTACTTATTTCAAACATAATTTTATAATTAATTTTCAACTATTAAAATGATATTATTTGATAAACATAAATATCATATATTTTTATAATTTCACTTCGTTTTAGACATTATTTAGATGGACTTTAAAAGATATTGTACTTTAGTCGTTTCAAACGGGCTCTTACTTAGTTACTATTTGACAAGTTAATTTTTTCTTTTTTGTTTTAATTATAATTTTTTTATATTATTAATTATTATTGATTGTAATATTCTTATATAGCTTCTATATTTTAAATATGTAAAACTCAAACATTTTAAAGATTTTATATTTTAATTCACATCGGATATTAGTTAATTTAACTATTTTATTTTGAACTAAGTTAAATAAAAAGATCAAGTACTTATCTCGCTTAAATTATTCTCTCTCCATCTCAAAATAAGTGTCGTTTTAGAAAATCAAGACTATATCAGGGTGGAGGAGATACCAACTATTCTCTTTTACCTCAATTTATACGATTTACTTTTCCTTTTAGTCTGTTTCAAAAAATAACACATTTTTATATGACATAATACATAAATGTGCTCTTTAACTTGATTTCAAATCAAATCTATGCTCTTCAACTTTGAATGTGCATAAATAGACACTTAAATTTGTATAAAGTTGAACAAATAGACACATATGTCCTACATGTCATCCTACATATCATTTTTTGTCCTATGTGGTGTTTTACGTATATTGTAACATGTAGGACTCACGTATTTATTATTTAAAAGTTGGATAGTTAAAGTATCTGAAAGTTGGAGATCAAAGTTAAAATTTGAAATCAAATTTAGAGTCTAATGTATGTATTATGCCTTTTTATTTCTTAACGATTTAATTTTAAAATATTTATTTTACCTATAATGAAACGATTTATCGTCTCACAAATACAAGCTACATCACGTAAATTAGGACGGAGGGACTAGTAAAAAAATTCTTTATATATATAAAGCCTGAAGAAAGCTGAAATGGAACTCAAAAACGTGCTCTTCCTCTACCATAATGGCCACCACAAATCGAGACGAATCCGACAAAGACAGTACGGCTTCTTCTTCAATAACAATGCCGGAATCCAGTCGCCGGAGTTGGATGAGTAGTACTAATCTCAGCAGTTTCAGTAGTCGCCGGAGTTCAATTTCACTCTGCAATGAAAACCCCTATTTCTCCAACTCACATAAACCACACAAATCCAATCAAATCTCTTGGGAACTCATTCGACGGATCCGAGTCGAATCAGGTCAAATCAAACTCGAGCATTTCCGATTACTCCGCCGAGTCGGCGGCGGTGATATCGGTAGTGTTTATTTATGTGAAATTCGGAATCCGGTTGTTGGTTTACCGCAGTGTTTTTACGCTATGAAAGTTGTGGATCGAGAAGCTGTTGAAATAAGGAAGAAATTGCAGAGAGGGGAGATGGAGAAGGAGATTTTGGGGATTATTGATCATCCATTTTTGCCTACTCTGTATGCACAATTTGAAGCTTCGCATTATTCGTGCTTGGTTATGGAGTATTGTCCCGGCGGCGATTTGCACGCCGTCCGGCAACGGCAGCCCGGAAAACGTTTCAGCATTTCCTCTGCTAAGTAAGTGATTTATTAACTGATTTTTAACTTATATATATCGACGGTATATTTCATTTCGTCATATATTTTGAAGTTGAAATTCGTAAAATTATTTATATAACTTAAAACCATAATTATATTGATCGGTTAACTAAGAGAAATTAGTAAGTTGATTACTATAGTAAATTACCTCTTAGTATATATAACTTAAATCAATTAGATATTATTACATTTTTTATCCATATGTTAAATAAAAGTTTTATTATTTAATTGGTGTAATCTTTAACCGAACTTATTTAATCTTCGATTAATAGAGTTATTCACTAATTAACCGTTATTTTAACGGTATATAATATAGTCATTTCATAACAAATAATGAGATAGTTGTAGCCTTAGTAGCGCATAATTGCGGAGCTAAAATTCGATCGAAGGGGTGTCAAAATATAAAGAAATAAAATCGTGTAAAAGTTAAAAGTGTCAGTATGTAATATATATATATAAATATTTTTATTCTAGCTACATAACGTAATTTTTCGACGAAGAGGTGTCGATCCACTATATGTGGCTCCGCCATTGCACGAACTCTTCACTTTAGATGTTGCATTCGTCTCGGATTCTTCAAAAATACATTATTTTTGGCGACCTGAAACACACTTGTTGGCAATTTTGAAGAGTCGAGCAACATAGGACTTGTAGCTACACCTAACAAATATTCATGCATTTGTATCTTATTCTTTTTACCTCTAAGCTTTTAATAAATGCCCACTTTATCTTGTGACATCTTTAGTATTTTGTTACGATCTTTTCACTTTCGTTATTTTCTTTTTCGAACTATTTAAAATGTTTAGGGTCTATCAGAAACAATTTTTCTACAGTACTGACTACTTAGCTTGCGATGATCTGATATTTTTTATTTTAATTTATAGGTTTTATGCTGCAGAAATACTATTGGCACTAGAATATCTTCATATGATGGGAATTGTATACAGAGATTTAAAACCAGAAAATGTGCTCGTAAGATCAGATGGTCACATCATGCTTTCAGATTTTGATCTTTCTTTTAAATGTGATGAAGTTGTTCCAACACTCGTGAAGTCGAAAACAACGAAATCCATAGCCAAAACCCCAAGAAATTCATACTGTGCTATGCCAATCCAACCAGTTCTATCCTGTTTTTTATCACAAAAAACAGAACAAAACCATGAAAACCAAGAAGAGGATCAAGAAATCGTTGCTGAACCTATAAATGCTCGATCAAAGTCCTTCGTTGGGACACACGAGTATTTAGCACCCGAGGTAATATCAGGACAGGGTCATGGAAGTGCAGTAGATTGGTGGACATTAGGGGTGTTTCTATATGAGCTTATTTTCGGTACTACTCCTTTTAAAGGAGAGAATAATGAGAAAACGCTCGTTAACATATTGAAGAAACCACTCACATTCCCAAGGATCGCGATAAGTAGTAGCAAAGAGTATGAAGAAATGGTGAAAGTTCAAGACTTGATCTCTAGATTACTTGTGAAGAATCCAAAGAAGAGAATTGGGAGTTTACAAGGTAGTGTTGAAATCAAGAAACATGAGTTTTTTAAAGGTGTAAATTGGGCTTTGATTAGGTCAATTAAGCCACCACAAGTACCAAATGATTTGGTGAAAATGAGAGGTGTTGTTCCAAAGTTGAGTAAGAAACAAAGGGAAGAACCTTATCAAATCCCTCAGTATTTTGATTACTTCTAAACTTTGTAAATAGTTTTTAGGGTAATTAATTAACAAGATAGCAAGTTGTAATCATGTATGACATGAAGAAAAGACCTAGTTGTTTTCATATAGATGTTTCTCTTTTTAACACCCCGTACGATATTATCTGTTTTAGATTTAATCTGTATGATTATCCTTTCGTTAGGTCTCACGTCATTTAAAAACATATCGTCGTCTCATACATGTAGCTTCTTTTTTCCTTTTTAACTATGAAAAGCACATCCAACAATCTCCTCCTATCGAACTAAGTTTCACGTATCATTTCATGAGCCTATATGGAGATACATTGTGTGTCACCCATATCGTCCGATTATTTATCGCCATCGAAGCCCATTAGTAAGCTTGTTCTTGGGTGTGTTATCCAAAATAGTAGTAAAGATAGTAAATCAAGCTTTACGTCTTCATACTCGTATCTCGAAACTATAAATTTTAATATCAATTATTAGACTAATACAATCTAAAGATAATTTTAACGATAAAAATTTATCCACATTTAATATTTATTACATCAAATCAAATAGAGGTGATGGGAAATATTCACATCTATCATATACTTATCAATATGATATTATATTATCCGTTTTGAACGAAACCTTCACAATTTTTTTTTTTTGTTAGAAAATCAAAATTAAAGATTAGGAACATTCCATTAATCTATGCACCGAATTGTTACGTATAAAAAGTAGAGGCAAAACATAATTGTCACCATGTTTTCATGTGATAGCCATTATTACAATCAATATCTATCATGGAAATATTAAAAAGGTTACCATAAATTCAATAAATTTGTTCTCTTTTTGTTAATATATCTTTTTTTTTTATACCTTTTTCTCCTCAAGGTATTTCAATATCTAAGGTCTAGGATTCATCCTTGTCACTTAAATCATTTTTCTTTTCATTATTGTAATAGCACCAACAATCTAAGTAGCCCATCATGTCCCTTTCCTTTTTCCACTTAGGCATAAAAAAAATTGCAAATATTTTACTTTTTTTTTTTTTTACAAATACCATTTTTAAATCGCTAATTTAATTTTGGTCAGTATTTTAAAATTATTTATGATTTAGTTATTATTCTCGTGTAAATATAAAGTTTTGATACTAGTTAAAATGTCAAAAGAATTCAAAAGACTTTAACGTTTATCAATTTGAACTTCACGAATTATTTTTAAAATTTAAATTCATAAAGATTTGAACTTCATTTAGTGTTGTTGAAATTTAAAATTTGAGTTTTTTTTTCTAACACTAGCAAGAATCATGTGCTAGAATAGTTTAGCTAAATAGATTAATGAATTAATTAAAAGGTTAGCATCAATATTGTTCTCTTTTTTGTTAACATCTTTTTTTATTTTACATTTTCTTCTCAAGGTACTTCAACTAATTAGGCCTAGGATTCATCCTTGTCACTTAATCATTTTTCTTTCATTATTATAATAGCACCAACAATCTAAGTAGCCCATCATGTTTCTTCCCTTTTTTTCCACTTGTGAATAAAAGAAATTGACAAATACTATCAATTATTTGGATTATTACATATGTTTTTTTTGGTATTTATCCCAAGTTCTTCATATCATAATTGGATTTTTTATAGGAAAAAAAAAATATGTAATCCGTATATTTTGCTAGTCCTTTTCTTGTAGAAAAACATATATGACTTTATACATAAAGGTTTATTTCTTCTAAATTAGGAGCATTTATAATTTAGTTCTACGGACTTTGAGAGTTTTGTGTATGGAGAGAAATGGTGGGACTCAAGTGTTACGTTAACACTTGCGTGGAACTCTTTTAATTCTGAGTGAATTGCGTTATGTTATTTCTCCGGTATTTAGTACTGTCATATTTATATAGTGAATTGCTCATCTTTTTTTTGGGCATAGATTAGTTGATCGAACCACATTAAATTTTTGTGTCTTTTAGTTTATTTCTCTCTTGTCTTCTTACTCATGATCTTTCGAAGATTGCTTTGTTAAATTCCGCAAGACACCGAATCAGTTCGGTCCTAACAATTTTAGCCGAGGGTCCAAAACAATCTCTATATCTTTCAAGGTAGGGTTTACCATTTGATATCATATTATCATTATTTTTAATTAGTTTACTCGTCATTTTAAAATTGTTCAAAATTCATTCAATTTTAGTGCGAAAATAAATTTTTGATAAAGATAATCATAGTTAAGAAACGAAAAAACTTTTAAAAGATTTTAGTAGAATTTGTACACTATAAATCATTAATGAAGTTCAAAACTCCAATAATTTTTCACACTTAGAATATGAAAATTTGAACTCCATGAAACACTATTGAAATAATAAAAATTTGTTACTTTTTTTTCTTTCTAAATTTGCCTTACTTAATATTTACTAGTTTGATTCATGAAGTGTTAATTAAGTAAGATGTTTAAAAGAGAAGTAATTTAAACAAAATGCACTTATAATTAAAAATTATTAAATATTCCTTAAAGGGTATTTATTTATTCATAATCTGTGTGAACTTGTACATAATACATGATTTGTAATGATTAGTTGAAAATAAACTGAAATTTTAAAATGAAAAAAAAAAAAAACAGTACACTTATTTTGACCAGAATTATATTAATTATCATAACCTAAACTTTGACCTTTATTGAATTCTACGTAAACTATATCTTTATACATCATTAGATTGTATTGAAGATAAAAAAGATTTAGCTTTAAAGCTTATTTAATTAGTAAAATAATTTTGTTCTTCTGTTGGTCAAGTTGACCAGTTGATTTAGAAGTTCCAAATAATAAATAAATTAATTCAGAATTTAAGTTATATAATTGATAATTTAAATAATTTTTTTTTATCATCAACTTAATTTAATTAATGATATGTTGATTATCCCTAATTTATTTCTAGGTTATCAATCTTTGTCACTCTCTTCCATCCAATTTATGCGAAAGTATTTTACGAAAAATGGAGTTTAAGAATGAAATGACAATTCTTTAAACACGTTATGATTTAAAATAAATTATGACAATATGGGTGTGGATATAAATAATCTTATTAAGAATTAAGTAAGAATTTAATGTATTTGTTTTTAAAAATAATAAGATGTCACTCTTTTGAAATCAACTAACAAAAATCACATTTAGTAGGACGAAAAGTATTAAATGAGTTATTTATCGTTATTTTTAGATGACATGATTATATAAATAATTGTGTTACCATCGATACATAAAATTCAGAATCTGCTTGCCCATAAAAAAAAAGATATTCACTTTTTTAACTGAATAATTTATTATTTTATCATAATATCAATGTTTTGATAAAATTTTAAATTCAACTTGAAGTTATATTTTAATTAATTTGAAAATGAGCTTCTCACTTTTTATTTCGAAATTGTATTTAATTACATTCAGACATAAACAGTATTTTAGTTAAATTTTTTAAAAAATATAACAAAACACAGTTTCATCTTTAACTTCAATTCTATAATCAAAATAAAGAGTGAATATTTCAAATCTATGATCAAATGTCTACTTAAAACTCAATATATCCCACTTCAGACTAACGAACTATAAATAAATTATTCAGATTCATTTTTTCAAACTAAAACTCTATCAAAAGCTAATTCTTTTATCTTTAAAATAAAAGTAAATTTTACATACAAGCAATATCCTATTCTTTTTAAATTTCACTTTATAAATAACACCAAATATAGATATTATATCCCAATTTTTATTTTTATTTTATTTTGCCTTAAAAAGAGATATTTTTCAATTATGGTGGTAGTAATCATAAGTACATATTGCGCATTATACATCAAAGAGGAAAATCATTGCTTTTATATATTTTTTTAGATAGATGCCACTTTATTTTTTTAAATTTTTATTTTCCATTTTCGAGAAATATGTAATTATACTTTCGAATTTATTTTTTTTTAAAAAAATTAATAATTCCTATCTGAAAGTGTCAGCTCCATTTTGCATGCGTAGGAAAAGTTTTTCTCAACTTAGATAACAACAACCAACAAAGCATAAAGTGCCAAAGACTCAAATACACAATTTTTTGAATATTCTTTTAAGTTTTTTTTTTCCCTCATTCAAATCCGATATTTTATTTTAGTGTATCTTATAGGTTACGAGTTTGAATCATAAAAATTGTGATTAATGCTTGTATTAGGACAGTCTGTTGTATCTATCATATTTCTTGGGATATGACAATCTTTAATTTTTCTGGAATATGAACACGAAATGCTTTGTGTACAAGGTTATCTTTAGTTTTTGGTACTTTTTGTCTATGTGAAGTATTGGTCACGAGTTTGAGCCATGATAATAACCATTAATGTTTGCATTATAATAGACTGTCTATATTATATCCGTTGGGATATGCCGCATTCCCACAACTAATGTTCAATATTTTGTCTCAGTGTGACTTATAGGTCACAAGTTTGAACCGAAAATCAGCCATATTGGTATAGTCCAATTGAGACAGTTCGATATTTGAAAAGCTAGACATTTCATGCCGTTGAAGTGTATTTTGGCGTGCTAGGTAATTGACATATTATGTATTGTCTCTACCAAATCCCAAGAATGGATTGAATCGAAATGATTTTTTTTTCTATTGTAATTCTTTGTGTGTATATAATTAGTTTTTGACCCCATAAAAGTTGTTATAACTCTGCATCGCGTATAATTGCTCACATTATCAATCATAAACACAAATATAAGAAAAAATTTTGTGATAGATTAATAATTAACGTAAAACTCATCAATTTACAAAAATCTCTTAGAATAATCAGTGAACGATTCATATAATCGACCCTAACTGCTCCTAATTGGTGTGTTATCATTGTTATAAGCTAAAAGTAGTTATGATGAACTATACATTATGTGGTAAACAAATTACTTCAAACCATAATATATTGTGGGGCTTGATGGGATTTTGTCAATTTCATCAAAGAATTTTGTTTTGGGCCACTTTGACATTATGCATCCAAAAAGGTCCAATAGATAACTAGCCCACTTAATAAGTTCATTTACTCCTCTTGCTGATTTTGGACTAAACAGAAGAGCCAGAAATCACAGACTTATCCATTTTGTGGTCCAGACTGTGTCACCACCTTTGAGAAAAG